GGCTGTGTAGGCTCCGAAAAGTTAGAGGGGGAGAGAGAGAGAGAGAGAGAGAGACGATGGGCTCCACAGGCTGCGAAGAGACGTAGAGGAGACGTAGAGGAGAAGCCGAAGAGGGCGAGGAGAGCGGGTCATTTACCCTACTTACCCAGTGACGGAGAGTGGCGTACAGCAGGTGAACGTGGAGAAATTGAGGGGAAAAGCATGAGGGGAAGAATGAGGCGGCAGAGAAGGGACAAACGAGGCTCTCTGGTGAGGGAACCAGGCTATCCAGGCTTCACCTCTCTCTCAACGTCTCTCTCTCTCTCGCTTGCTCATTAACCTCAAGAGTTAAAGAAAATGACAAAAAATATTTAAAGAAAACGACAAAAATATGTAAAGAAAATGACAAAAAATATTTACTCACGTATCCGGCGCGTCATTTGAGTAGCTTGGAACGTGTCTGTGTCTGTGGGTCTCCCGATGTCTATTAATGACTTCGTCACTAGACGGCGATACGCCAGAGCAACCCTCCCCCTCTCCACTGCCAGCTTCTTGATCCTGATCAGACAGACGATAGGACCAGCGCTCCTTCTTGGAGAGAGAGAGAGAGGGGAGTGAGATTGGATCACAACAAACTCGTTTTCGGTCTCTCTTTCTCTCCCCCCCTATATATATGTGTAAAAATATGTGAAGAGATCAGGAAAACCGGAGAGGGAGAGAAGAAGAGAGACGGAGAGACAGTCATGGTGGGGAGAGGGGAGAAGCTGGAGGAGCCTCTACTCCATGAGGATGACAGGGTAGGTGGCGAGGCGGACATGGGGGAGATAACCACCTGCCGGACTTTTCTGAAGGAGGCGGTGGAGGAGAACAAGAGGCTCTGGTACCTCGCGGGGCCGGCGATCTTCACCTCCATAGCGCAGTACTCCCTCGGCGCCGCCACCCAGGTCTTCGCCGGCCACCTCACCACGCTGGAGCTCGACGCCGTCTCCACCGAGAACATGGTCATCGCCGGCCTCGCCTTCGGGATCATGGTTCGTCTCCTCTCCTTGCCGCCGTATCCTCTATTTCCCTTCTTCCACTTCATCCTCCTCATCGTCATCATCCTCATCTTCCTCATCCGCTTGTGGCAACAATAGATCGGATCTAGTCAACTCTGACATCCGCGAAGAGACCATCTCTCACCGGTCGATTTCCTGCCACTTCTTAAATCCCTCCGTTGACTCTAAGGCCTGCCAGGGCACGTCGCATCTGACTTGACTAGCTGCCTTCCGTCCGCAGCCATCTCCTCACTCCTTGGGATTGGACGGAGGGGGGATGAGGGCAGCGCATCCATCTCGATTCTCTCAGAGCTCATTTTATAATCATCGCGTCTCTTTTATTACCAATGGTTATGTGGATCGGCCACTTACCCAGCTGACTCTCTGTTCTTATTGAGTCGTTGGAACTAGCTGGGCCGTTACAAAGGCCCAATAGAGAAGATGAGGAGCTATGAAGGACCCGCATCCGTTATAACCGGCTCCCTATCCTTCTCCCCCTCCCTCCTCTTATCCTATTTAAAGGGCAGGGGAATGGGAGAAGGTGAGTGAGAGCTGTGGAGAGTTCTAAGAGGTGGGGGGAGTGGACAAGTTGGGCTTGGTGAGAAGAGAATAATATAGAGTTTTTGATTATTTAATTTAGGTTTTTTCTTATTAAAAGGAAAGATGTTCAACATCAAGTAGAGGAAAGAGAATCCAATATTTAAGGGTCTATTTCCATTTTTTCTTCCCTCATGGAATTATCAGTAGTTCTTGTAGATGTAGAAGGATTTATTTAAGCAAGGTAAATATTGGGGTATCACTTCATATTGCTCTTTCATTTGTACTTTAATCTTGCCATTTTCATTATAATACCTTTGATATTGGTCATGTCCATGCTTAAGGATTTTTTTTTATTTTATATCATTTTTTTACAAACATCATTTTATATCAAAGCCAAGTTAGTCTTACCTCATTAAGTATGCTATTGTAAAGATAATGGCAAAATTTGAGGTTGCAAAATTCAATGGAAAGATTGATTTTGGTTTGTCATAAAAGAGAGTAAAGACAATCTTTGTACAACACTTCATAAAGTACTTCATAGAAAAGAAAAAACATAAAGATTAAGTGATGAACATTAAGATATATTAGATTTCAAAGTAATTAGTATAATTAATTTATGTCTATTTGAGGGGTTAATTATCAAAGTGGTTACTATTATTGATTTATGCAAAAAATCAGAAATATTATGTAAAATATTTTACAAGTAAATTATATTTGAATAAGAAATTAACACATGTGATGAAGAAAATATCCTAGAATATGTAAATACATTCACTAAGTTGATCTCACATCTTCATAGTATGGAGGCCAAGGTGGTGTAAGAAGACTAAGCTGTTCTTTTCCCTTAATTATTACTTCAATCTTATGACCACTTAGTGACAACAATCTTCTATGGTAAAGATATCTTGAACTTATGAGAGGTTAATTATATATTAGTATTACATCAGGTTGAAACAAACCTTTTATATGTAGTCTGATAGTGAAAGGTTCAAGAGAAGAGAGAGGATGTCTAAAAAATAATGACAGGGTAAGAAAAATAAATTAGTTCCAGTTCAAGAGGTAATGATAAATGTTACTAATAATATCAAGAAAGTAATTGGAAAATAGATGATGCTTTCAATGTTGAAAGCAAGAAAGTAACTAGAAGGGTAATGAACCAGTTGTGTAAGTCAATATCACTTTTATTTTGAGAAGGAATGAGATGTTTTAACAATCTCTTCAAGCATAAATTACTCCAATATAAGGGTATTTTATTCTACTGGTTTCTATATATATGTATTCATTTGGGGATCGGTTTGACACATACATCCTATTTTGGAAGTAGAATTTTCATGGGTACTAAATGTTGAGTGAAAAACTATTGAGATATTACCACTAAAAATTAATTTTTTTGATACAGTGGTCAAAACTTTGGTAGATGTTGTGTATCAGATGCACCAAACTTAAGAAAAATTATAATCTGCCTAAGTACATGATGCAAACGATTGGACTTATACTAGCATTAATGGTTTTCTGAAAATAAAAAAGGTGCTTTAGCTAACAGAAAGGGAGAGAAAATTGGATAATTATACAAGTTTCTGGATACCATTGTATTTTGGTAATGCATTAATCACATCTCATTTTAAAGATGTTACTACCATGTTCTGGCATGTTAGGCTCGGGCATATATATTAAAAGAAAAGGTTATATTTGAACAATCAGAAATTACTTAAGGATCTAAAATCTTGTAAAGTTTATTTCTGTAAATCATTTATTCTTGGCAAACGATGCATACCTAAAACAACCAAAGGGGGTTAGTGGAGAAGTTATGATTGGTGAGAAGAAGGTAGGGTTCTTTCTTCTTCTATTTGGGTCATTTCTTTTCTCGTTGAAGAAGAATAGTTTCGACATTGAGTTGAGGAAAGATATCAAATTTTTTTTGTAAGGCTATCTCTATTTGTTCTTCCATCAAATAAACATATCTAGCTCTCTCCATAGGTGTATAATGATTTCTCTAACCGTGCAAATATTTACATATCAGTTCTTAGTGCTTTTCCAAGTGTATTTCATCTTGTCATCTTCGTTATCTTGCCTTAGATTCTTTGAACATATTATACTCAGGTGGATGACGAATTTTTGATTCATTTTCCACCTATCTCGCCCACACCCACACACACGAACATCCCCCTTGCTCCCCGATTATTTGTAGCAGACATGAATAGTGCCGATGGATTCCCACAGCTCGGGATGGGAAGCGCACTGGAGACGCTCTGCGGTCAGGCCTATGGCGCGAAGCAGCTCCACATGATGGGTGTCTACATGCAGAGGTCCTGGTTGATCCTCATGACCATGTGCCTCTGCCTGATGCCCATCTACCTCTTTGCCACGCCGATCCTGCGGTTTTTCGGTCAGGAGGAGGAGATCGCTGTCCTCGCTGGGCGATTCTCACTGTACATGATCCCCCAGCTATTCGCATACGGGGCCAACTTCCCCATCCAGAAGTTCTTGCAGGCGCAGAGCAAGGTGATGACCATGGCCGTGGTGTCTGCGGTGGCGCTGTTGCTGCACCTCCTCCTCAGCTGGCTCTTCATCGTGCGGCTCGGCCTGGGCCTCCCCGGCGCCGCCGCCTCGCTAAACATCTCCTGGTGGGCGGTTGTGCTCGGCCAGCTCCTCTACATCCTCATGGGCAACTGCCCCGGCGCCTGGACGGGCTTCAGCTTGGCCGCCTTTCGGGATCTCGCCGCCTTTGCTAGGCTCTCCATCGCCTCCGCCATCATGATGTGGTAAAGTGCACTCATAGAATCGCATTTATGAAGATTTCCTATTGCTCATTCAATATCTGAGTTATTGCCGCTACGTTCTCACGACGTGTAGTCTGGAGTTCTGGTATTACATGTTTCTGGTGGTGCTGGCGGGTCACCTGAGGAACGCCGAAGTCGCGGTCGCCGCCATATCCATCTGGTAAGTATGCACAAGTGCATACTATTATGAGCAACAAAGTTTTTCGATAATGTGACGTAGCCCGTCTGTCGGCAGTGTGAACCTGAGCGGGTGGGAGATCATGGTGTTCATCGGATTCAACGCAGCAATAAGGTATGCTCGATGGCCCGAAGTCGACTAACACTCTTTAGTAGTGATCCTACCATGTTATGTAAAAAGTAGTCGAGTTAGTTCGTAGGATATATCCCAACACAAGGTTATATATATTCCACTGTCGTAAGGACTTGAGCTATTAGGTGGGTGGCCATTACGGCCGGGGCATCATGGATCAAGGGGAAGAGGAAAAGTCAGATGAGGAGCAAATCCGTAGAGAGAGACGATGAGTCGTCGTTTTCACTGAGGTTTTTTCTTACCATGTTAACAGAACACCCAGATCTCGTTAGACAACATTTATGTGCTAATTACAAAAAATCCATACGCTCTTATTCCGAGAATCAATTTGAGTGAAAGTCGACAGAGCGATCAATCTTCTGATGCAATTGAATTTGATCAAAAAGCGTGAAATTTTTAATGATTTGAATGGAGCAGCGTGAGGATTTCAAATGAACTCGGAGCCGGGAGGCCGAGGGCGGCCAAGTTCTCCATCCTCGTGGTCGTCATCTTCTCCGCCCTCATTGGGGTCTTCTTCATGGCCTTGGTCCTCTCCCTCAGGGAGGTCTACGGTGTTCCCTTCACGAACAGCCCAGTCGTCTCCCGCGCTGTCTCCGATATCGCTGTCCTCTTCTCCTTCACTCTTCTCCTCAACAGCGTCCAGCCCGTCCTTACTGGTGAATCTCCTAATAAATTCTTGCAGAATTCTCTCTCTCTCTCTCTCTCTCTCTCTCTCTCTCTCTCTCTCTCTCTCTCTCTCTCTCTCTCTCTCTCTCTGTGTTTACCTGAGTGAATTGGGGAGCTATAGGTGTTGCCGTGGGAGCGGGATGGCAGACCCTCGTCGCCTACGTAAATCTCTTCTGCTACTACGTCGTCGGCCTTCCACTAGGGTTCTTTCTGGGATCTTACTTCGATCTGGGAATCAAGGTAATGGTTTGTAAGGAGAGGCAGATAGAGTAGCGGAGTTAGCGAGGAAGAGTGGTATGGTAGGGTGATTCTGACCGAAAATTTCGTGAAGGGCATCTGGAGCGGGATGATCTCCGGGGTGTTGTTGCAGACATCGATACTCACGGGGATCACGCTCTGCACAAACTGGAACAAGGAGGTCGGTGCCCTCTGTCTCTGTCTGTCTGTCTCTCTCTCTCTCTCTCTATCTCTCTATGTCTCGCGGAAAGAGTCGATCTGACTATGCATTTTATCCTTTGCTGCAGGCCGCGGCGGCAGATTCCCGGATAAAGGAATGGGGAGGATCGGTGGTAAACCCACAGAGCCATTGCTACGCGTCGTAAGCGCACCTGCAAATAAGACAGCCTGCTCACGCTCTCTGGTGTTGCTTTATGTTTAGCATTGTTGAGGAATTCATATTGGATTTAATTACATCAGGCGATAATTATATTAGCATTATTGTCTCGTTGTATGATATTGTCTTCGTCAAACTGATGGGAATCGAGGAAACTTGCTCTCTCTCGTGTTGCCCTATGTTTAACATTGTTGAGGAATTCATATTGGATTTAATTACATCAGGCGATAATTATATTAGCATTATTGTCTCGTTGTATGATATTGTCTTCGTCAAACTGATGGGAATCGAGGAAACTTGCTCTCTCTCGTGTTGCCCTATGTTTAACATTGTTGAGGAATTCATATTGGATTTAATTACATCAGGCGATAATTATATTAGCATTATTGTCTCGTTGTATGATATTGTCTTCGTCAAACTGATGGGAATCGAGGAAACTTGCTCTCTCTCGTGTTGCCCTATGTTTAACATTGTTGAGGAATTCAAATTGGATTTAATTACATCAGGCGATAATTATATTAGCATGACTGTCTCATATATTGTCTTCGTCAAACTGATGGGAATCGAAGAAACTAGCCACCATCAACTTCTTCAGCGCTTAGCCTGTACCCATTCAGGTGTAACTTCTTTATTATGACGCAATTCTTTCTTTTATTAAGAATCAGGAAGGTTATACATAACCTCGCGTAACCCTAGAAACAAAGAAGAAAATAATCATTTGGTTTCATAGCTTAGCCAACATTGCTCTGTGAGGGGAGAGTCTGTGAGGGTCATTTATCCAACCCTGTCAGCCACTGCTGTCTTTTTCCATCCATCAGCTACCTGAAACTGACACCCGTCACCTGGCATTCGCCAGCCACCTGCCGCCAGCAACTATCATCTACTATCCTCCATCTAACATCTGCTGCTGTCGAGTTGCGCCCTATCGCAACGCCCCCAATAACGCTTAGGGATTGATTTACGCCTCCACCGTTGTCTTGAATCGTTGGCGCCACTTCATGCCCGTTGCCACCGTTCGACGCCACCATACCAACTTTGCCTGCGCCACAACCTGTGTGATGCTGCCGAACTCGCCATCCACCACTCTGTCCTCTCTGTCATCCTGCCCTTCCACTCTCTCCCCCTGTTCAATCAACGCCTGCTCCGCCATTCCCATTTGATTCACCGTCCCACCAGTTCAGGTTAAGTTCCAACCCGTTTGTGACTCAGTGAACGAGCATATATAAAATTGGTCAGGATCCGCCAGATCTTAACCTGTCCAGATCTGCTAGATCCAAATCACTTGGATCTGTGGAGTCTGAGCCATATAGCGAACCTTCATGACTGAACTGCTGACTGATTCTGTTGCATATTCAACCATCAGCACGTCAGTCAATGGTCAATGCATATTCAACGATTAAGAATCCAGCTTCAACATCTGCCTCTTTCCTTGAACCGACGTTCACTTTGTCATCTAGGTAATCTCTAAACCATTTTTCTTTCTAAATTGAAAATTTTATTTATTTAGTATGGTGTCTCTGTAATTGTCATTGAATGGTCCATACATAGGTTCGCTTATTATTTTAGATGGTGGTGAGTGTGAGAATCCTTTGATTATCCGTTATTTAATTTATTATGAGTGGAGCACCTTAATCTCAATAGTTCTTTTACTATGTTGATCAGATCTATTTCAATTCTTGTGGAATAACCACTTTGACTTGTCTTTCTTATTTTCATAGATTTCTAGACCCAATGTGAGAGTCATTCTAGGTTACGCACACAGCGCTAGTCCTATCATTTTATCCCATTCTACGCCACAAACTCTCCAAACCTTGAAGAATTAATAAATAAATAACATTATAATATATAATTATATTTTAATTTCAATTTTCTCTCAATGACTCTTTCTCCGTCTCCCTCTCCTCACAATGTGGATTGTGGATTTCTTTTACCATCACCCTCACCATCCCTCTCTCTCTCTCTCTCTCTCTCTCTCTCTCTCTCTCTCTCTCTCTCTCTACCTATTTATCTATCTATATATTTATCAATATCTCTCTCTCTAGTTGCCGTCTAGTAACTTGTAAAGGTGACTTGGTCAACTCATTTATGGGAGAGGTCCATTCGATATCATTTCCCCTTTTATCAATTATTTTAGGGATTGGCTTGAGGCAAGAAATTAGTTTCACCTCTTTGAAAAACATGTACTAGAAGGGGACTCAATGAGATAAAAAGTGAGAGAGGAATCAAGATGAAAAATCCCTTCTTTCCAACTGCTGAAATTAGGGTTCCAATGTCTCTACCTCTGCCCCCTTTTCCATGGCTATGGTTAGAGTTTCATTAACCCTGTTTTTTTATGTATTTATTTCCTTATTAATAGTGGACATTTTCCTTCTCGTTTAGTGGTCACTAGGTGCATTAACCCTCTTTAGACCTCAATAAATACGTGCTTTCTTACAAAAAAAAAATTCTCAATAATATTTATTACTTTTTGGGACATTATCAATATCTCATACTCTCATCTTTTGCTGTGATAACAAGCCTCATTAAAGGGATGATAATTATTAATAAACTTGTATCATAGCCAAGTTGGCTTAAGACTTAATTAGTCTTCTATCCTAAAAAAAATTTTAAAGCAAGATATCCCTATTAAGTTTGATATTAAAAAATTTGACCAAGGTATCAACTTCAAAGAATATAGAAGGTTAAGATGAAGACTCTCTTAAGTCCCCAAAGGTTGCATCATAAATTCAAAAACGAAAAAAGCTAAGAACTTTGTCTTTAAAAGAGAAATTAAATTAGATAAAAATGTTTTGATTGTGATTCAATTGAGTATGTCAAATAAGGTTTTGCAATAGGCCATATATAAAATTTAGATGTTTATATTATGGCTGAAATTTGAGTCATTTTATATGACTAGATCACTCACTAGCAAGTTATTTTTTGAATCAATGCTTGTTCATGTTGAGTATGATAGAAGATACATTAATTACAAAATATTAATGAGAGACTAAAAGAAGAAAATCAAATTATGTTTTTACTCTATTATTCACTAACATCATATGAACATCTTTCAAAAACTTTGTTATATCATTGATAAACTATATACATTGAAGATGTTATATCTTTTTGTCCTCAAAATAATTTGTTGATAAAGACATGACTAATCATATTCCAAAAGGACATTAATATGAGGGTTTTATTGCTAGAGGCTGATCCAAAGAGAAAAATCAATGTGGGAGAAGTAGAAATTAGTCAAATTTTAAATAAAAAATTAGAAGTAAATTATATAATTATTGTCACAAAAAAGGACATGTTAAGGTTAATTTTATAAACTTAAAAGAAGAAATAAAAAATATGATTCAAAAGAACCTATTAATAGTAAAAGTTCAATATCGACAAGTGTTGCTGAAGACAAGAGTTGTGATTTTGTTTTCTTTGTACAAACCATTAGATCTAAAGATGATTGGGTCTCTAATATGAGTTATTCAAATGACTTTGAATAAGGAATTATGCTCTATGTATAAATAAACTAATAGTGAAGTTTTATTAATGATAAATGATTCCCTATGTAAGAAAATTGGTATTGATTTAGTCCACATTAAAATATTTGATAATATTCTATGAACATTATTTGATGTAAAATATGTCTTTCATTTAAGAAAAAATTAATTTATTTTGACATTTTTTATGCTAGTGGCTATAGATATTCAACTGAAGATAGAGTCATGAAAATCAGCAAAAAGCCCTTGTTGTGATGAAGGGAAAAAGGTGTTGTACCCTTTACATCCTATTAGGTACCATGATTTATAATTTGGTCTCACCAACATCTACTTTCATGATTTAAGATGTTGCCAAATTGTGTCATATGACATTAGAACATAATCATTGTTCAAATATGGTGTCCTCATTGTTCAAAGAATAGGACACATTTAAGGTTAACATTGACTATCATTCAAAGGTGGCGTCCTCATTATACGACATATTTGTATGTAATAATTCAAGAGAAAAATTTGCTCTTTAAATTTTTTCTATTAGAAAAGATAATTGATGTTGTTTGTCATAAACACATCTTTCACACACCATTATTTACTGAAATAGATGGTAATTAAAAATCATATGCTTGTGATATAATAATCGTAATACATTAAAATAGAGATTATCATATCATAAATACCAAAGAGAAAACATATCATTTTTTGTACTAACCACACTAAATCCATGTCTTAAAATATCAAGAGGAAACATCAATTTTTCAACTTTAAAAATCACCATAGGAGACATCACTTTTCTTATGTTTGATAACACATCTATTATCTTTAAAATGAACAATATGGTCACATTCCAAATACTTGCTAACAAAATGAGATTTATTGAAGACATTTTTATGTTCATATACTTGCTAACAAGGATAGCAGCATACTAAATGCCTAACTGAGAAGTATTAAGATAGTAACTAATGTTTGAATTTAGACCAATGCCAACGATCACTGTTTTCAATAAATTAGAGTTGTTGGTGGCCCTATTATTTTCTATGATCTAGTAATATATCTACCATGAATTTTCTTGTATTGAGAAAGATGTATTTTGCTGAGTGGGCAGCTTTCAATTATAGCAATTCTTTTAGTCATGGATAATATTTTAAAGTAAATTTGGGTGTGTAGAAGGGTTTTTGATTGGTATTCCAATATGATCGTCTCTTATTATAAAAATGTCATGAACATAAAACAAATACATTGATTTTAACACAACCTTCTAAAAAATTAGCCTCCCCTTGGGAGTATCACGTAAAAAAATAACCTTCTCTCGGCCTGGTTATTCTCATCTCTTATTGCCTCCCTCCTAGGCTTGGAGCTGTGTATGAAAATGGGTGAAATCCAGGTTTTGAATGCACATATTATATATATATATATATATATATCTTGAAAGGAGGATGATTTTCCATGTGGGTTTGTTTGTCACCTCGAGAACGTCACCTCTCTCCTCTTTACCCCGGCCAAACAATGGAATTGGGGGGCGAGGTGTGGCATATCTTCCGGCGCTGTTTCGAGCTGCGGGAGGCATGGGGAGGACTGGCCCAGCTCCATCTGCGTGGTCGTTCCTGTTCTTCTTCGCCTTCAGCTTCTGTTGCCGGTGGTTTCATCGGGGCCTGGCGGGGGCGGCGATCCCGGCCAGGTACGACGGGTTCGTTTACCCAGTGGGAGCTCCGGTGGGCGAGGACTCCATCTTGGTGGAGGCCTTCTTCGATCCAATATGCCCTGACAGTCGCGACGCCTGGCCCCCTCTCAAGAGGATCACCCTCGAATACGCACCGCGAATCTTCTTGGAAGTGCACCCCTTCCCCCTCCCGTGAGTCAACCCCCCCCCCTTCCCGCTCTGGTCTCGTCTATTCTTCCGGAAGGTGGGTAATCGCCTATCATCGGCGGTGGAAAACAGAAGATGAGTTTTGGGTTCAATTCTATCGGATTGAGTTGTACTCTAAAGATGGGATCTGAAAATCTTTATGTTTTGCTAATTTTGGCCTCTTATTATTTATGTAACAATTTGGGAAACCATTATCTTTCTCTTGGAGCAGTAGGCGCACGTCTGAGCTCCTTCGGACCTTCCCAGTCTGCATATTATCCCTTATTACTCTGTTCCTTCGAAGAAATAATTCCTGTGACATATAGGTTTCTTTCGTGAGAAAATTTTCAATTCGTCTGGAATTATCAAAGGACTTCAGCTTCTAGACTACCTCCTCCATTCAGGACATCCAGATAATTATTCTGCATCATCCCTTTAATTGTGTGGATAAAAGCTGCGCTCTCGTGATTAACCATATATTTTTTGCTACAAAAGATAAGATTCCTGGGTTTAAACTTAGATTTATTTTTTTTACTAATGATAGGAGCACATCTTATCTTCTTCTCTGTCACTGATATCAATCATGAGCTCTGTTTCAATCTGGAAATTTTTCACAAGCAAGAAAATTTTCCAACCAGCTCATTTTAGTTAAATCCTTTCCCCTGCGAAAACCTCCGTGTTCTTATTACTTTTCAAAGTTTCCAACAATTAATTAGGTGGCATTAGGATCTAGAAAGGTATTTTCACATTTGCTTCTTTATCTATACATCCATATATGTATGTAGTATAATGATCTGTGCTCATGTCTTGCTGTTTCATATTCATATTCATCAAAGTTTTTTATATGTCTTTTATTTTAGCTAATAATCATTTTTCTGGATATGCAGATACCATGATAATTCCTTTTTTTCGTGCCGAGCTCTACATATTTCAAATAAACTGAACAGATCTACAACTTACCCCCTGCTGGAGTTGTTCTTTGAGCACCAGGTAAGAAGGTACCATCTTTGCCGGAACCCTTTTCATAGTATTTGAAACTATCCTCTATCCTCTCATCGAAAATTCTTCATTTAATGTTTAATTTAGAACTATCGTGATGCTTCATCCACCTGTAAATTTTGGATATTCTACCAACTGCTGGTTTTTTCTAAATAATTTTATCAGGCTAAAAGTAAGCTTGAATGTATTTTTAGCCTTCACTGGTGAAGGATAATTGTGCATCTGTGAAGTAAATTTAAGATTACAAGTTGAACTTTGTGCTCTTATTCTATAATCCCTGATTATATTTATCGATTATGCCAATTTTTTTCTGAATATCTATGAAGTTAATATTCTCATGATCCGAGGCTAGATTCTCAATCCATTGGGATTGTATAAGAGCAACCATGGAAGAAACAGTAGAAACCTACCATATTATCAATGTATCAACGTATGATGAGCTCAAAAGCCCATCAGAAAGAACACCAAATGCAAAACCACTGAAAAAGAACTTCCATTCCTTCAAAATGACCCGGCCTACCTTGTCTCCTCTACCATTACCTCAAGCCTCAAGATTAAGTTTGGAAAAAAAAATTGCCGTGCTTAGTTCCTTAGAGAACCTGTTTTCTCTCTCTCTCTCTCTCTCTCTCTCTCTCTCTCTCTCTCTCTCTCTCTCGCTCTCTCTCTCGCTCTCTATCTATCTATCTGAGATAGGTGTGCATGCACAGGATTTGGCCCATGTGGGTCGGCCCCAATACATCTCCTCCTCTCCCTAATAATACTCTTTAAGCACATTACCTCCTTCTTCCTTGCTACGTTCAGCGTGCCCTCTTCTTAATTCATGTGGCATGAGCAGGAAAAACTGTACAACCAGCCCACCAGGAACATTTCCAGGGAGTCGGTCATTCGACGGATGGTAAAACTCGCCACCAAGGCCACCGGGGACTCCTCACAGTCGGCACTAGAACGTGGCTTCGAGGACTTGGAGACCGATTTGGCAGCAAGGACATCCTTCAAGGTGGGCACAATCGATCCAATTGCCAAGGCCCTGTTTTAGTTTAGACATTATCTCATATCTCTTTGCATGATCTCGTCTCTCCTTGCAGTATGGCTGCTCAAGGGGGGTGATCGGGACCCCTTTCTTCATAGTGAATGGCTTCCCGCTGCCGGGGGCTGGCTCAGCTCTGGACTACGACCAGTGGCGGAGCATCATCGACCCCCTGGTGTCCAATTCTTCTTCGGAGGACGAGGGCACCACCACCCTTTGAGCATCTCCAAGAGTGTACTACTCTGCAACTGGGTTCTTCTTCTTCTTTCGCTCTGTGCCTGCACCTAGTGTTCATCTTTGTTGGGATAATGTCACTCATACCTACACTCAAGTGCAATCTTAGGGTAATGACACCCCCCACCCTTGGGGTTCAGTTCTCTGTCCAGATATTCTGCTATGGACTTGCCTTAATTACTCGTTCAGATGAGTCAACGGCCCTTGGAGTCTGGCCTTATGAACAGGCTGGGGTCGTGTCAACGCTCTCTGGTTGCAACTAGTCTTCATCTTCACTGGGAGACTGGCGCCCATACCCACGTTGTGTTTGTCTGGACCAGTAAAATGTCAACCATGTCTATTATACGGGTGTCCCAGCCCTGTTAGGGCAATGGCACCCACCTCCCTCCGCTTGGGGCCCAGATATTATCCCTTAATAACACGCCCCAGGTGAGTCAACGGCGACGTCGTTAGGGCCCCACCGTCTGGTCAGCGCCAACGCTGTGCCTTATGAACAGGCTGGGGTCGGGTCGGGCTATGAGGAGGCCCGGCCTATCCCGAATCGGCCCGTTAAGGCACTCCCCTGGCCTGGGGCCCATTCTGTCCACGGGACCTCACCCCTATTGGGTCGCCGAGTTTGGGCCTAGTAAAGATAGTATTGGGACCAGTCTATAACTTCCTATATTTTTATCGTCAAATGTCCAATCAACAGAGTGGTTGGTACTCTTGAGAAGATATGTTTTTACTTTCCGAAAGGACCAACCAAGCTCTGAAGAGGATCAACAAGGAGAGGGACAGACGAACAAGCCCAAAAAGCTGAGCCCAAATATCAAATATACCGAGACCAATACAAAGGAACAAAGACCCAAGCCCAATACGAATGAGAGAGGAGAAAAAGCCCAATAGGAAGGAAGATGAAAACAAAGACTAAAGATAATAAGCCCCAATACCAAATAGACTAAGCCTGATGTTGAGGAAGACCACAGACCAATGAGAACAAGCCCAATACTAAGGAAGACTGTAAGAGAAATACCTGCAAAAGGAGAGGAGAGAGAGGAGAAGACACCATGGAAGTTAATGGTGGCCCCAAAACTGAACAATGAAATGGGCCATAAAAACGACACTTATCTGAAATCCCTGGGAGACGAAACGGGAGAGGAGGAAGAACCAGAGATTAGGGGGGATTGGACGGGAACTGTGAGAGTGATGAGAACAATGAGAATTAGAACATGGGCGACAAAGATAACAGATACAAGGATGACCAGGAGAACGATGAGGGAGATGATAACCTTAGGGAGATAATAATGGAGCGCTAGGGGCTGGTGGTCAAAGCTGAGGATGAGGACGAATAAGATCAGATAAAGAGTCAATGGCATGGAAACAATAGAAGCCTCTGATAATGATGTCAGATGGCGATGACATGAGGGAAAGTCTTAGGAGAACAGAAACCCAGATGGAAGCCCTAATAGAAGCCCAAGTGGCTATGATAGGGAGAAGTGACGATGACACAACTCTAGAGGACGATCAAGACCTAACTTTGATGCCATATTAACAAAGAGAAAGAGAGGGTAACATAGCTCTGATACCGTGTTAACAAAGATATAGAGAGACTAATAAGATGGCGATACCATATTTACAAGGGAGAGAGAAAGGGGGGAGAAAGTAAGATGTGAAGGGGAGAACGAACTGAGAGGGACGGAAGGCCACACACAGTCAAGTCTCTTATTGCCTTTCTATAATCTTACTAGGACCATAAAATTTTAAGGACTAAATATAGCAAGCCCATAAAGCTGACCCCAATATAAAAAGCCTATAAACCAAGATATGATAAGTATATTAACTAAGACATGGCAAGTCCATACTATATCTAATAAGACCAACCACTTCAAAATTCACGTGTGGATTGTGATCGATCAAAATCGTTTCCAGACAGCATCTACTGCCAAATAGAAGCTATTTTTATGTAATGGCTAAAAGGTTGTTATAACTGTAAAAAATATAAGGAATTGAAAAACGCATGCAATGGCGAAAAGGTATAAATATCTCCAGATATCAAGGCGTTGACTCTTTGTAAGAATCATGTGAAGAGCTTTTCTTGGGAAGTCATCTGCCATTCAACTAGGACATCCCGTTACATCTCTATCCGGTAACAATCGCAAATTACGGATATTCAAATAACGTCTTTTTTTTTTTGTGGACCGTTAGGTGCATTAAATGCTTCTCCCGCCTTAAGAACATTGGACTCTTGCGTCGAGTAATGATGGCATCCGGATGGCTAAGTAAACAGTAGAGTATATGGGGGACAGGGGGTATGATCGCCGGTAAGCCAGTACTTTCTGTCTCGACTTGAATTCGATTGACTTGTTTGTGGAGCTGGTAGACCAATCCTACCAGTACTAAAGAAGTGAAGGGTCAATATACTCGAAAACGCCTTATTTTCCATAGGAAACGAGAGACTGGATACTGGCAATTGAGGGCCCCACATGCAGCTCAGACTACAAACTGCGTAGAAACCATGGGGAAGAGGACTAGCTGCGTACTTTCCTGGAGAAGGCTGCAGAGGAGAACAAGTACCTGGCGGGGCCGGCAATCTTCATGTTCAAAGCACAGTACTCCCTTGGCGCCGTCACCCCGGTCTTCGCCGGCCACCTCACCACGCTGGAGATCGACGTCATCTCCACCGAGAACATGTCATCGCCGGCCTCGCCTTCGGCATCATGGTTCGTTTCCATGATCGCCCCATGAGGAGCTGGTACGTAAGGTTACGAGGGATTCAGGTGGGGGGGGAATGGGTTGTATCGCCCTCGGCATCACGTCTGTTAATGACTTCATCGCCCGACGGTCAGACACCGGCGCTACCATTCCTCTCTCCTTTGCCAGCAACTAGATCCTGATCAGGCGGACGGTAGGACATGCGCTCCGTCGTGGGTAGAGAGAGAGAGAGATAGAGAGACAGAGAGCGAAAGAAGAGTGAGATTGGATCATAATAAACAAAAACAAATTTCCCTCTCTCCCCCCTTAACTTTATTATATATATAATTTATATAATATATATATATATATATATATACATGTGTCTGTGTGCGTGCGTAATTGTACGTAAAGATCAGGAGAAACGGAGGGGAAGACAGAGAGGAAGAGACGATCATGGCCGGGAGAGGGGAGAAGCTAGAGGAGCCTCTACTCCAAGAGGAGAAGAGGAGAGGCGGCGAGGCGGACATGGGGGAGATAACAAGCTGCCGGATGTTTCTGAAGGAGGAGACGGAGGAGAACAAGAGGTTCTGGTACCTTGCAGGGCCAGCGATCTTCACCTCCATAGCGCAGTACTCCCTCGGCGCCGTCACCCAGGTCTTCGCCGGCCACCTCACCACGCTGGAGCTCGACGCCGTCTCCACCGAGAACATGGTCATCGCCGGCCTCGCCTTCGGGATCATGGTTCGTCTCCTCTCCTTGCCGCCGTATCCTCTATTTTCCTTCTTCCTCTTCATCCTCCTCGTTTGCTTGCGGCTACAGAAGACTGGATCTAGCCAACTCTGAGATCCGCGAAGGGACCATCTGCCACCGGCCGCTTCCTGCGCCTTCTCCGATCCCTCGGTCCACTTCATGGCCTGCCAGGCCACGTGGCGTATGTCTGGCCTACAGCTTTCCGTCCGCAGCCATCTCCTCTCTCATTGGGTTAGGGCGCGGAAGGGACCCGAGCAGCGCTCCCGTCTCGACTCTTGCTGGCGTCATTCGCGGGACACTCCATCGTGCGTCTTTTATAACCAATGGTCATGTGGATCGGCCACTTACCCTGCTGCCTCTCAGTTCTTTTTGACTCGTTGGAACTAGCTGGGTATATACGACCTTGTAGAGCTGATTTATGTAAATCATTTGTTACTGGCAAACATGCATTGCAAAAAATGTAAGGACGGTAGTGGAGAAGCTACTCTTGGTGAGAAGAGAAGGTAGGGTTCTTACTTCTTGTATTTGCGTCCTTTCTTTTCTGCTTGAGGAAGAATACATCCGGCATCAAGTTGAGTAAAGACACCTAGAATTTTTCTAAGGCTCTGTTTTTATTTGTTCTTCGATCGAATAAACATTTCTAGCTCTCTCTGTGGTAGAAGGAGGATTTCTCTGAACCATGTAAATCTCGAGATATCACTTCTTAGTGGTTTTTCATTTGTACTTAGTCTCGCCAGCTTCGTTATCTTGCCTTTGATACTTTGGAGATATCTATACTTAAGTGGATGACAAATTTTCTATTCCTATCCCACCTATATCGCTCACACATACACACTCAAACAACCCCAACTCCCCGATTATTTCCACAAGACTTGAATAGTGTCGATGGATTCCCACAGCTCGGGATGGGAAGCGCACTGGAGACGCTCTGCGGTCAGGCCTACGGCGCGAAGCAGCTCCACATGATGGGTGTCTACATGCAGAGGTCCTGGTTGATCCTCATGGCCATGTGCCTCTGCCTGATGCCCATCTACCTCTTTGCCACGCCGATCCTGCGGTTTTTCGGTCAGGAAGAGGATCGCTGTCCTCGCCGGGCGATTCCCACTGTACATGATCCCCCAGCTATTCGCATACGGGGCCAACTTCCCCATCCAGAAGTTCCTGCAGGCGCAGAGCAAGGTGATGACCATGGCCGTGGTGTCTGCGGTGGCGCTGTTGCTGCACCTCCTCCTCAGCTGGCTCTTCATCGTGCGGCTCGGCCTGGGCCTCCCCGGCGCCGCCGCCTCGCTAAACATCTCCTGGTGGGCAGTTGTGCTCGGCCAGCTCTTCTACATCCTCATGGACTACTGCCCCGGCGCCTGGACCGGCTTCAGCTGGGCCGCTTTCCGGGACCTCGCCGCCTTCGCCAGGCTCTCCATCGCCTCCGCCATCATGATGTGGTAAGGTGCACTCATAGAATCGTATTCAAATAGTATCTTCTACGCAAGTTCGAACCATATTGCTCATTCCATATCTGAATTGTTGCCGCTATCTTTTCACGACGTGTAGTCTGGAGTTCTGGTATTACATGTTTCTGATTGTGCTGGCGGGTCGCCTGAGGAACCCCGAGGTCGCGGTCGCCGCCATATCCATATGGTAATTATGTACATGTACGTACCATGTTGAACAACAAGGTTTTTCGATAATGTGACGTAGATTGGGCATTGCCCGTCTGACGGCAGTGTGAACCTATGCGGGTGGGACATCATCGTGTTCTTCGGATTCAACGCGGCAGTAAGGTATACTAGATGGCCCGACGTGGACTGACGCTCTAGTAGTGACCCTGACGTGCTGTGTAACGCATAGTCGAGTCTACTTCATAGGGAATATTTCCAGACAAGATTGTGTATGTTACACTGATGACCGGAGTTGTTGGGTGGGTGACTATTGGGTCGGGGCATCAAGGGGAAGAGACAACGACAAAGGTGAGAAGAACATCAAGGGGAAGAGGCAAATTCAGAAGAGGAGCAAAGCCTAATAGAGAGAGAGAAAGAGAGAGCCACGAGGAGTCGTCGTTTCACTGAGGTCTTTACTTATCTTCTTAACAGAAGACCTAGATCTGTTCAGATAACATTTATGAGCTAATTACCAAAAAATCATATGCTTTTCTTCAGAATCCATTTCAGTGAAAGTCGACGGGTGATCATTCTTCTGATGCAAGTGATTTTGATTATAAAAAGTGAAGATTGTAATGAGACTGACTCGAACGAAACAATGTGAGGATTTCAAATGAACTCGGAGCCGGGCGGCCGAGGGCAGCCAAGTTCTCCATCCTCGTGGTCCTCACCTCCTCCGCCATCATCGGGGTCTTCTTCATGGCCCTAGTCCTCTTCCTCAGGGATGTCTACGGCGTTCCCTTCACCAACAGTTCCGTCGTCTCCCCCGCCGTCTCCAAACTCGCCGTCCTCTTCTCCTTTTCTCTTCTCCTCAACAGCGTCCAACCCATCCTAACTGGTGAGTCTTCTAATAAATTCTCTCAGAAATCTATCAGCCACCCGCTCTCTCTCTCTCTCTCTCTGCCCGTAAGAATCGATCTGACGGTGCATTCCATCCTTTGTTGCAGGCCTCGGCAGCGGATTCCCGGATAAAGAAGTGGGGAGGATCGGTGGAAAATCTACAAAGCATTGTAATTTTCTGTTAACTTTCTACTTACCTTCGTTTTGAAAGGGCAGATATGAGACCAGATAAATCTTTCTCATCGTTGAAGCGCGCTGAGAGAGAGAGAGAGAGTTAAAAAAATCAGAATTCTTGCCTTCAGAAACCTGCACGTCTTTTTCTCTTTCTCTCTCTACTATGTAACTTCGGAAAACGACCACTCAGGCAGTTATCTGATCTCGTGGAACAGGCTTAAGGTCCTTGGAGACTCCCGAAGCCATGGCGACGCGTATTGCAGCGCATGCAAATACGACTGAGCCTGCTTACCCTCTTACTCGTTTTACCTTCTGTTTAGCATTGTTGAGGAATTCAGATTGGATTGACTACGTCAGGCGGTAATTATATTGGCATTGACTGTCTCATTAGATCGTATCGTCTTGGTCGAACTCTCCAAAACCCCATGAAGAATTCTTAAATAAGTTTATTTTGTTTTGTCCTATTCTATATTCCCATTTTAATGTTCGCCTGTACCACTGACTCTCTCTCTCTCTCTCTCTCTCTCTCTCTCTCTCTCTCTCTCTCTCTCTCTCTCTCTCTCTCTCTCTCTCTCGCTCTCTCTCTCTCTCTCCCAAAAATACGAAGATTCGATGAGGACCGCCGAGAGATCTGAAAGGGGGGGGGATCTTCTGGGCCACCCTGCGACGACCCACTCTCCCGGAGCTCCTCACCGACGGCCATAGGCGTCAAGGAGGTCGCCAGGCTATCGATGGAGGTGGGATGATGAGAGAGTAGATCAGGGGGACGGCCACAATGATCTCTACCTCTCTTGCCTTCGAACGAAAGAAAGAGAGAGAGAGAGAGAGAGAGAGAGATAACGAGGTGGGGAGGGAGAGAGCTCTTCTCCTAATCTTGATGAATTATTGAAAAACCAAGTTTAACACAAGGAGAGTTTTGAACTAGTTGATGTATGTTAATTAATGATCATATTCTAATTTATTTACTCTCTGAAATTTAGCGGCCACAAATAGAAATTCAATGCACGTTGAGAAGAAGATTTCTCTCAAGGCTCAACCAGCCACCTTGTAAATAAATTATAGATAGCCAATGGGGATGATTTTTCACTTCCTTCAACAACTTTGACTATTCAAAATTGATGAGACAAAGGGGAATAAACTTTCACGAAATTTAGATTGTATTAACTAGGATAAAAGAGGTTCAATTACATAAAAGTCAAAGAAACAAAATAAAAATGATTTATCCCTCTTGCTCTAATGGACATGGGGAGAGAACGGCGGCCTCACTCAAGGGCATCTTCAGTTGATCTTCTTTTTTATGCGCCAAGGGAAGAGACCCATGATCGTTGCCGGCACTGTCACCACTGGAAGGGGTTGGGGGAGGGGGGAGGGGGGAGGGACGAGTTGACCCACCTATGGTGTGCTGCAGGTGGCACCAAGGGAGAGAGGAGCAAGTCGTCCCCATAGTAGGGGAGGAAGGAGAGAGAGAGAGAGAGAGAGCTAATCATCAATGAGGGTGGCAGCTTGCCTCTTTTGGGATCGTGTGCCCTACATCCTACATTGGGCCTTCTAATTTTGCTCCTACATCCTACAAGATTTACAAGTAAGTCTTTTTACAGTTTTACCTTTTCATGTCCATATATTGTATAAATGTCCATGATGAACTTAGATGATTAGAGGAGAACTATGTTCCCTTGGCTGTGCATCATAGTTATTTATTCATCCTCATACTCTTGCATCATAAGAATAAATTGATTTCCTCATCATCTATCTTGACGCTCACATTTTTGTAGAAAATAGGAAAATGATATAATTCATGAACTAGAGTATGAAAATGTATGTGTTTAATATGTAATTATCATATTCTTATATTCTTTAGGCTTTAATCATTAATCATATTACCCTTTTAACATGATCATTTAGGAAATTATCATAGGCCCAAGTGGGCCACATAGTAGAGGATATCCGAACACCACCTCAGGCTGGAGCATATAAGTCAAATATATCTAGATTAGTACATATAACATCATAAGACACTCTTGTAAGGCTCTTGATAAAAATGTTTGTCAATTGATTAGATGAAGTGACATGTGGTGTGCAGATAACCTCTATCAGAACTTTGTCCCAAATGTAGTGACAATCAATCTAGATGTGCTTAATATGCTTGTAGAATGTGAGATTTTTGATAATGAAGATTACTATTTGATTGTCACTATGCATAGGTATAAGTGTCTGAGTGACTCAAGCTCTTTAGAAGAGAGTGAAGCCTTACCATCTCACATGTCATCTTAAGTATAACATGATATTCGACTTTTGTACTAGAACAAGATACCACCTTTTACTTTTGAGAGCACCAAGTGACTAAGTTACCATCAACATAGATGCAATAGTTAGTCGTCAACTTCTGATCTCCTTTTCACTAGCATATCTAACATCTAAGTAGACTCCAACACATAGGTGGCCATCACATTTGTAGATGAGCTCCTTCTCTATAACCAATTTTACATAGGTTAGGACACATAGTGCTCAATAGTGAGATATGTTAGTTTCTCCAATAATCACCAATAGTGATTAGTATCCTTAATTAGAGGTGAAGTAATATTCTAAAACTTTGGACACACCTCCATAGGTGATGACTCCAATTTATAGCCAAGAAACTCATTTTTTTAAGAAGGTCAAGAATATATTTTCTCTGAAATAAAGCTAGCTTGTCTAACTGATAAGTAAACTCTATCTTAAAGAACTAACATGGTGTCTTCAAGTCTCTTGTGACAAAATGTTGTTGTATGTTGGCTTTGGTGGTAGAGATGCATGCCTCATCACTTTTTGTCACAAGAATCTCATTAACATATACAACTAGGATGACCATACCTCTAGGTGTGATCTTCATTAGGACAGTAGGGTCAACAATACATGGAATGAAGCTGACAGTAGTAAGAAGGCCACTAAACTTCACAAACCAAGCTTGATAACTCTACTTGAGTCCGTAGATAGTATGTTCAAACAGATCTTAGAGGTTACTCTATTAACACTTTCTCATCTAAGTCACTATACATGAATCCATTAGACACGTTCAATTAGTGAAGTGACCAATCATGATGCACCACTAAGGAGAGAAGAACCCGAATAAAGTTCAACCTGCTCACATAAGAGAAGGTCTCTATATAATCAATATAATAGGCTTGAGTGAAGCCATAGGCAATTAAAGGAACTTTCTGATGAATGATGGAGCCACCTAAGTTGTATTTCAGTCTGAAAACTCACTTACATGTCTTAATGTTAGCATCGTCAAATAAGAGACAAGCTTTCACATGCCTTGAAAAACTAGTGCTTCAATCTCCAAATCTATAACTACTTTCTAATTAGGGGCCTAAAGTGTCTCAACATGTAATTGTGAAATCGACTCAGAGACCAAGGAAATGGCAAGACACAAAATGTGAGGTCAAGGTTATCATAGGAAATAAAGTAGGATATAAGATGTTGAGTGCAAGAGCATGTACCTTTACACAATCCAATGAGAAGATAAAGACCATCCATAGGTGGTGCATGAGCATCAATTAGTTAAGTAGTGGTGTCAAGCGAGATGAGTGAGGATGGAACTGCACTGGGAGTAGAGGCATTAGTAGAGGATGAGGGCAGTGAGAGTGATGACGAAGAAGGGAGAGAAAATAAATAAATAAAAGTACGAGGATTCATAAGAACGATAAAGAGTCTTAGAGGTTGAAAATATGAATGGATGAGAAGATGAAAGAGATGGAGCAAAAAAAGTAAAATCTTCATTAAAGATAACTCAATGGAGGTCACATAATGATGAGTGTCAGAAAAGAATTCCCAATAACTCTTTTGGGTGTGCAAGTAACCCACGAAGACACCTTTCAAAGCACAATGAGTGATAAGTCTTCATTATCATGAGTTAATAATTAGTAAATACTATAGTTTTAGCCTTAACTCATGATAAATAGACTTATATTTGTGTAAAAGTGTGAAAAGTGATTTTTAGTTGATTAATGTGAATTTTTTGGTAATTATGTGATTTTATATAAATTTATATGATTTTTATAGTCTTACTTTTGAGATAAATGAAGAAAAATAAATAAAAATAAAAATAAAATAAAATGAGGGGGACCCACTGGCCAGCCAAGCCCGCAAGTGAGTCGAAAGTGCAGTCAGAGAGGAGCTATAAGCAAGGGCTCGAGCAGCTTAGACCAATAAGGGCATATGTGTGCCACTCCTCTTCCACATTATTAGTGGCCAGTCGGTTGTGGGGCAAGGAGTGGTTGTACACACACGAGAAAAAGACTTGCTTACAAATGTAACATCACTATATATTTACCCAAAAATTCAGCGCACAAGTGATGTGGGACTAAACCTACGTCACACTTTTTCCAGAAAGGTCGGGCAACTGGCGTAGGTTTGAATCTTCTTAAAGCCAAAACTCATATTTTTTATCTGATTATTATAACTTTTTTACAAATCACCAGTGAAAGATTAAGCAATTAAAATCACTAAATCATCCGCAAAAAACTCGTCAATGCGATTCGTGGAGTATTGTTATTAAAATTGTTGAACGATTCGCAATAAAAAGATTGTGAATCCATTGAGTAAAGCATCTCTAAGTAATCAACGAACAAGCTGTTGTCGGGAAGAAGATGATCCACTAAGAAATAAGTCGCCACCTCCTAAGAACATACTAGATGTGATAAAGAATCTCCTCTTGTTGTGTAGACTTGAAGATGAAGTTCTCTAACATATGCCCCACCTCCATCCAGCTCCTCTCTATTGGGTGACAACCCTTAGAGAGCCGCAAAGACGTCATTTTTCCGTTCCACCGAGTGACAACCATCAAAGACAATTCGACGACCCATTTCATCGATCTCTAGACTTTGCAAGGATATCTAGAGATTACCCACGTCGTCTTTGTCTAAAGAGAGCCTTCAAGGCCATAGACATTGCACAATGATCCTCCTGAACGTTCAGAATTTTAGTGCATCACTGACGCATCATTACCGTGACACCAGAACTCTATTTTTCTACTTTCAACTTACATTCCACTTCATTTAGGGATAACTTGTTTGATTTAAATTTACCAATATTTACTTCATTCAATTATAATTTTTTCAACTTTTATAGATCTTAATTTGATAAATTAAATCATTTGTAATCACTTATGTAAAAATCACTGAACATAACTCTATTTTTGCTCGATTCACATTCGTCGGGAGTTGACATCATCTTGACGTCCGCACCTTTATTTCCTTTTTTCATAAATTTTAAATATATTTTCTTTTCATTTCCTAGTATCAAATTTATTGAAAATAGTATTCTTTGATAAAATTTTTGAATAATTACTAGATATTATATTACTTCCCTGTGATCGATTTAGAAAATTATCACTATTTTTAAAAGTTTTATTGAATTATAATTGATATATTTATTCAAAAAAACTTCTAAATACCTAAAAAATTATATTTTCTAGTTTTATAAATTTTAAATTTATATGATTTACTATACAATGACTAAGTCACGTCAATGAGCAAGTTTAAAAAAAGATGACGAGTGATCATAAATGAAAGTAATGCAACCAAAAACCTAAGGTGATAAAGAAAAAAGAGAAGCGTTGGGTGTGAGATGTTAAAAAAGAATGGCACCATCTAATGAAGTGGAAGGGAGAAGGTTTTAAAGATAAGTGTCGGTTAGGAGTGTGTAGATCACATGAAATATAGAACATGCATCTCAATGAATAATGTGCGAGTGATGTCAAGTAAGTGACAGTGTTTACATTCACAACTCCATCTCAATTAGTATGGGCATGTGATTTGATGAATAACATCACAATCTGTACAAAAGGTGTAAATGGCACCTTGAATAAGTTCAAGTGCATTGCCTATGTGAAGGATCTTAGATGTGATGTAATGTTGGGTAACAATATTAGTGATAAATTAAGTAATAATATTGAGAACTTGAGACCGATCATAGAGGAGATAAACTCTACACAAGTATAATTATCAAAAAATATATGTAATAGAAATGTTCAATGATAAAGATAACTCGAGAGAGTCTCCAAACATCACAATGAACAAAGATCGAATGGAACTAATGATGGAATACTGTCACGACTAGAATAAGAGGAACAATGATATTTGCTTAGTTGATATTACTCGCACAAAAATTCATTAAGATACAACCACGATAAGATTTCTAAAGTTTTGAAAAACAAGGATTACCTAAATGATAATGTCACAAAAGAGAAGAATTAGCAATGAAAGAAACAAAAAGTGTTCAAGTGATGGAGGAAAGTACATTTGAGATGAGTTTGTAAACACTATGACCGTTCTCACGCCTCATACCAATCTCCATTTAGTATGCAAATCTTAGAAGACAAAGTGGAAGAGAAAAAATATAATGGTGCAAAGTAGGACACAAGTGATGACACTAATAGATAAAAAGTTTGTAAGAAAACTGAAAACATAGAGGACTTAGGTCAATGGTAGGGTAGATGTCACAATAGTGGTGCCTGACCTTTGATCAAACAAGTCTGACCATCGATAATGGTCATTAGGGAATGGGTCATGATGTGATAAAGTGAGTAAAGTATAGAAAATGTACTGATCATATGGGCAAAATCTCCTAGGTTGAGAATCCAAGATAATGAGAAAACAAATAAGACATGTGTACCTAATATGTAAGCTCTCGACATAGATGCTGTCAAAAGAAGTTGCATTAAAGGAAGTGATCATGGACCACTTCTAGGCTTCATATTCTAACAGCGTAAAAGTCATATGAATAGTAGGAGGAGATGTTACGAAGTAAACCATAGATTAAGTTGATGTAAGAGAATCTAAATGAGTGCCAAAAATAATAGCATGAGCTCGCTCAAGCTCCTTACAGCACTTGTTTGACGAGTAAGAGTATGGTGGAAAGGTGATAATTATAAATTAGTAGTTGCATCTATGTATTAATATCTTATATATAGATGCTAATTAATGAGTAAATAATATTATTATAGATGTGTTACCAACTTATTATGACATTTATAATATTTTATTATTTGTTCTCATACATATTATTTTAATTATTTTATTTATATTATGAAACTGACCCTACTTGATTGTAAGGACTTAGTTTTTAATATGAGTTGAAAGTAATAGAAGAAGTCAAAGCCTTCAGGCCAATGAAAAGCCCAAGTCTTATGGAGAGGGTCAGCCTAATATGTTTATGGGCCCAAAAGAGAGCCTCACTTTGACATATCTCATTTAGACTTAAAAGGGCTGTCAAGAGATAAGATCTAAGCCGTCTATCTTTGAGTGTCTTAAGATGAGATTAAGAGAAGGATTAGAGCGCCGTCCTCATAGAATGATTTAGGCTGTCCACCAAGAGAGTTGGTTATTAATCTTAACTATTCATTGGAGGGGCCTAACTCTCAAGAAGATTTAGATATTTCGTCCCCTTCTTAGAGGATACTTTTTGTCTCTCTCTCTAGCAATGATTAGTTGAAGAAAATAGGAGAGAAATCAAGGCTTGATCAACGACATTCTAGTGTCCAAGATCATAGTGGAGAAGAGATTACCTAGAGCACATCAAGATCATCATGGATCGAGTATCACTCGGCCTAAGATTGACACACAACAAAGTTTGTGTAAGATCTAGATTTGGGGTGTCCTTATAATCTTCTCCATGCATAGATTAACTTTTAATTTGAACTAGTTTTATCATTTATTCTATCATTTCATTGCATTAGATCCCTCTCTCCCCTTTATCACACTTTTCATAACTCTTGTCTTCAGCTTTTTACAATCCTTCACAATCTCACGTGTATATATATATAAGAAATAAAATAATTAGAATTCATACTCTCATTACTCATGTTCTATGAGGATCGACCCTTATCCTAAATAAAAGAGTGACGTTTTATAAATATTATTTACATGTACTTAGTTACATCAAGACAACATATTTAACCTCTAATTTGAGTTTATCAAATTGGCGTTGTTGTCGGGGAGCCAGGTGTCATTGAGATAATAGAATTTTTTCTTTAGTTTTCTTTTATTTTTTCTGTCATTTTTCCTTTTTTCAATAAACAATTTTTTGAGCCATTGATTGAAGATTTTTTAAGAAAAATATTACTTTTTACATATACAATTTCGTGAGATTTTGAGTGAAGGTTTTTATTTCGTATTTTTCTTTTCTATAACCTCTCTTTCATTACAGAAATTCATTAAAGGAGGTCTTCAAAAGGTATATCTTTCACTTGAACCCTTTGATTATTTATGCACGACACTAGATCTAAGAAACCAAATTTAGTGGACCTTGATTCAATAAGGAGATCTAGTACTCTTATTCTTGAGGATAGAAGCAATTATGAAGAGATGGACCCATCACAAAACCCAAAGAATAAAGATTTACCTCAAAACCATGATGATAAAAGAATGAAAATGAGAGAACATTATAATCCTATGGGGAGTAAATGAAGCATTGAAATCTGCCCACCTTTTAGAGAAGGAGTGAGCTTTAAAATAGAAAATATATTTATTAACTTCTTACCTAGTTTTCATGGTCTATCTAGTGAAGATCCTTATGCATACCTAGAGGAATTGACTGAAAAATATTTTTTAAATCAAATTTCATGAGTCACTAGTGAAGTTATGAAGATAAAAGTTTTTCCTTTGACTTTAAAAGATAGAGCTAAAGAATGGTTTAGGAATTTAGGAATGAGATTAGAAAGTTGGAAAAAAATAGAAACCTACTTTCTTAAAAAAAATTATTCCCTAAGGAAGCTAACTCATATAAGAGAGCCATACAAACATTCACTCAAGAAGATAATGCATTTGGTGAAGCTTGGGAAATATTTAAAGATTTAATTAAGAAGTGTCCTCATCATGGGTATAGTAATTGATAATTGATTCAAATTTTTTATGAAGGTTTACATGAAAATGTTAGAAATAAAGTTGATATGGTATGTGGTGGATCACTTCTAAATAAATATGATGATGAGGTGGAAGAATTGATTGAACAGCTGGTTGAAAATGACAATCATCACATATGGTTGATTCAAAATGAGAGAAATGTAGGACCCAAGAGAGGAAGAGTCTTGAATGTAAAAAGTATGGAATCTGAAATTGAGAGAGATATGACTGATAGGCGTTTAGAGAATGTTGAGGCATCCTTAGGAAAGTTGACTGATATGATGTAAAATTTATTATCTAACCCTATTGTTTCACATGTTCATAATACTCTATGCTCTGTGTTTTAGCAAAGGATATGTAGATGGGGAATAAATCGACACTAGTGAAGTGAATGCAATGAACCATCCACCACCTCACAACTCATGGAATGGGCTAGGCAATGCAAACTTCAGCGAAGAATCTTGACCCCCATTTCAGCCAAGACCTTACTTCCAACAGTCCCAACCACAGCACATGCCTCAAGGTAACTCTAATGAACTTCTTATGTAGATTTTGCATGAAATGCAAAAGGACCAACATGAAACAAAAGAAGTAATACGAGGCATGGTGAGAGATGTGGAGCAGCTCAAGGCTGATGTGGAGAGTCTGAATCAAGTCGACTCTAATGTTGAAAATATGAAAGGTAAAGGGAAAGAAGTGAACTGTGGTATAGGTTGATTTCCAACTCAGCCCTCCATTAATCATCATAATGTTATTTTTATAGAATCTCATGCATATTTTCCTTTAGAAAATCATGAATAGATTCATGTCATAACTAAATTAAGAAATGGGAAATGTTTAATTGACCCTTAAAACAAGAATGAAGAGGGAGAACAAGAAAAAACTTTGGAGAAAGAAGAGGAAAAAGTAGAGTTGAAAGAAAGAGAACCAACCTTGAAAAATATCAACTGCCTATTCCTTTTCAAGAAGCTTTAAAATCTACCAAACCTTTCATCCAAAATAGTGAACTCCTAGAGACCTTCAAGGAGACCACAATAATCATTCTCTTAGAAGAAGCAATCAAACATATTCCTTCATTCTCAAAATATGTTAAGAAACTTTGTATTCTCAATAGAAAACCTAAGAGAGTCAAATTGTCTGTAAGTGTTGGTTCTATCGTATTAAACTAAATTCTAGAAAAAAGAAAGATCCAAGTGCACCCTTAATTACTTGTGATATTGGAGGAACACATTTTTCTAAATCTTTATTAGATTCTGGTGCTAATCTCAATCTCATGTTGAAAACCTTATATGATAAATTTAAATTTGGAGATCTAGAACCAGTCCTCTTAGAATTACAATTTGTGGATGGATCTATTAAGCAACCGTATGGTGTATTAAAAGATGTGATGATTAAGATAGAACATTGCACATTTCTTGTTGATTTTATTGTGACTAATATGAAAATACTTGATAATTAGAGTAGAGCACCAATAGTTTTAGGGAAACCATTTTTAACCACCGCCAAAGCCATCACGGATTGAAAAAAAGGGATAGTAGTATTAAAGGTAGGAGAGGAAAAGGTTGAACTTAATATTTCGATATTAATAAAATATCTTAGTGTTAGCTATGGAGAAGTTGACATTTGCGATGTCTTTGATGAAGATGATGAGTTAGGAAAAAATTATTTCAAAATTTGTGGAGTAAAACAGAAAGAAGAACTATTGGAACCTCTAGAACCTTTTAATGCCCCAAATTCAGACCTAAAACCTTTACCCTATTCATTAAAATATGCATTCTTAGGCCCTAAAAATACCTTACCTGTTATTATATCATCAAGCCTTACATCTGAACAAAAGGAAAAACTCATGTATGTATTGAAGGAAAATAGGGCAGCAATAGGATGATCATTTGATGAAATAAAAGGGGTACCTTTTAATGTGTGTGAGCATAGGATATTTATAGAATAAGCCTCTAAACCATCAAGAGAAAATCAAATATGCTTAAATCCTCATATGCTAGAAGTGTTAAAGAAAGAAATATTGAAATAGCTTAAAGTGGATGTGATTTATGTAATTTTGAATAGCTCTTGGGTAAGTCCAATCCATATGGTACCAAAGAAGACCGGCATAATAGTGGAAAAAAATGATAAAGGAGACTAAATACAAACTAGATTAGTCTTTAGCTGGAGAGTATGTATAGACTATAAGATACTAAATCTAGTAACTAAAAAAGATCATTATCCCTTGCCTTTTACTGATCAGACATTAGAAAAATTAGCCGGCCAAAATTATTTATATTTTCTTAATGGTTATTGATAAGTCTTCATTATCATGAGTTAATAATTAGTAAATAATATATTTTTAGCCTCAACTCATGATAAATAGACTTTTATTTATGTTAAAATATGAAAAGTGGTTTTCAGTTGATTAATGTGAATTTTTGAGTAATTATATGATTTTACATGATTTTATATGATTTTTACAGTCTTATTTTTGTGATAAGTGAAGAAAAATAAATAAAAAATAAAAATAAGACAAGGCGAGGGGGACCCGTCAGCCAGCCATGCCCGCAAGTGGGTCAAAAGTTCAGTCGAGGAGTAGCCACGAGCAAGGGCTCAAGCGGCTTGAATCGATAGGGGCATGTGTGTACCACTCCCCTTCCACATCACCGGTGGCCAACCAGCTATGGGATAAGGAGTGGTCGTACACGCGAGAAAATGGACTTACTTAGAAATGTAACATTAGTATATATTCACCCAAAAAATCGGTGCACAACTGATGTGGGACTAAACCCATGTCACACCTTCCTTGGAAAGGGCAGGCAACCGACACGAGTTCGAATCCTCATAGAGTCAAAAGTCATATATTTTTATCTGATTATCGTGACTTTCTTGCAAATCGCCAGTGAAAGATTAAGCAACAAGAATTGTTGAATCATCGACGAAAATCTCGTCAACGCAATTCACAGAGCATTGCTACTAAAATTGCTAAATAATTTGTGATAAAAGGATCGTGAATCTATCGAGTAAAGCATCTCCGATTGATCGATGAACAAGCCGTCGTCGGGAAGAGGACGATCTGTAAGGAGACGAGTCGTCACCTCTTGAGAGCATACCAAATGCAATGAAGAGCTTCCTCTTGCTACACGGACCTAAGGATGAAGCTCTTTAACATGCACCCCACCTCCATCCAACTCCTCTCCATGGGGTGACAACCGCCGGAGAGCCACAAACTCACTATTTTTCTGCTCCGCCGAGTGACAATCATTGGAGACAATTCAATGACCCATTTCATTAATCTCTAAACTTTGCAAGGAGATCTAGAGATTGCCCACATCGTCTTTGTCTAAAGAGAGCCTTCGAGGCTGTGGACACTACACGATGATCTTCTTGAACGCTCAAGATTCCAATGCATCGTTGATGCATCACCGTTGCAATGTCAGAACTCTTTTCCTGCTTTCAACTTACTTTACGTTTCATTTAGTGATAATTTTTGTGATTTTAACTTACCAAAATATACTTTATTCAATTAAAATTCTTCCGGCTTTTATAGATCTTAATTTGATTAATTAAATCATCTATAATCATTCATGTAAGAATGTCAGGTGGAACTCTATTTTTGTCTGATTCGCGTTCACTAGGAGTTAACATCATCCTGACATCCACACCCTTATTCTCCTTTTTTGTGAATTTTAAATATATTTCCTTTTCATTTCCTAGTATAAAATTTATAAAAAATGATATTTATTAGGGAAAATGCTAAGTAATTACCATATATTATATTACATCTTTGTGATTGACCTAGAAAATTATCACTATTTTTTGAAAGTTTTATTAAATTATAATTGATATATTTATTCATAAATACTTCTAAATATCTGAAAAATCATATTTTTCTAGTTTTATAAATTTTAAATTTACATGATTTACTATACAACGACTGAGTCACGTCAGTTATTCAAGGTATAATCAAATTAATATTCATGTAGATGACTAAGAGAAGATCACTTTTACATATCCAGTAGGAACATTTGTTTTTAAATGAATGTCATTTGGTCTTTGTAATGCTCCTATAACATTTCAAAGATGTAAGAATATCATGTTTACTGAATTAGTGGGCGATGAATTGAAAATTTTCATAAATGATTTTTCAATTTTCAATGCATCATTTTATGTGTTTATTTAATATAATGCTAGCTCTACAAATATGTATCCAAAATAATCTTGTATTAAATTAGGAAAAATCTCATTTTATGGTACAAGAAGGAATACTATTAGGACATCGAGTCAGCAAACATGGCCTGGAGGTAGACAAGGCCAAAATCAAAGTGATCAAGCACCTACCTCTTCCTAGCAATTCAAAACAGCTTAGAGGGTTCCTTGGCCACACGAGCTTCTATAGGAGATTCATTAAAGATTTTGTAAAGATTTATAAACCCGTAACTAATCTCTTATCTAAAGATGTCGATTTTATTATTGATAGTGATGCTAAGATTGCATTCATTCAAGCTCTTATTTTGCAGGGCCCTAATTGGAGCTTATCCTTTGAGCTAATGTGTGATGCATTGGATTTTGCAGTGGGAGTAGTCTTAGGCCAAAGAATTGACAAGAAACTAATGGCTATCTATTACACTAGTAAGACCTTGGTGGATGCTCAGGTAAATTATTCAACTGCTGAAAAGGAATTATTAGTCATTATTTTTGCTTTAGAAAAGTTTATGTCTTATTTAGTAGATAGTAAGATTGTTATTTTTTCTGATCATGTAATTTTAAAGTTTTTACTTAGAAAGAAAAAAGTAAAACCTAGGCTTATTAGGTGGATACTTTTGTTACAAGATGTTGATATTGAGATAAGGGATAGAAAGGAAAGTGAAAATGTAATGGCTGATCGTTTATCGAGGATGATTATAGCGGACTCACAATTCATTAGTGATTCCTTTCCCGATGAACATATTTTAAGAGTTCAAGTTAGAAAATTTTCTTGGTATGCACATATAGTTAATTATCTTGCTATATTAATGTTGCCTTTAGATTAGGACTATAATGAAAGAAAAAAAATCTTCAAAACATTATCACATTATTATTGGGAAGAACTTGAATTATTTTCTTTAGGAGCTGATCAAATTTTGAGGAGATGTGTGCCAAAGGAGGAAAAAGAAAAAAAATTAGAGTTTTGTCATTCATCACCATATAAAGGTCATTATTCCTCTAAAATTACAACTTTAAAGGTCTTACAATGTGGATTTTATTGGCCAACTTTATTTAGAGATTCTTATGATTTTTGTTTAAGGTGTTTAAGATGTCAGCTAACCACTAATTTGAGTAAGAAAGCTCATATGCCCCTTAAGCTAATTTTAGAAGTAGAGATATTTGATTTATTAAGATATGAGTTTATGAAGCCTTTCTCAAATTCAGAGGGATATGAATACATTTTGATGGTAATAAATTATGTCTCGTTGGGTAGAAGCAATTCTCACTAGAACCAATGATAGAAAGATGGTAGTTAAATTTATAAAACATCATTTTTTTCTCAAGATTTAGATGTCCTAGGGCCATCATTAGTGATGGAGGATCACATTTTAATAATTAACAATTTAAGACCTTATTGAAAAGATATAGAGTTCATCATAGAATAACTACACTTTATCATTCACAAGCCAATGGACAAGTAAAAGTATGTAATAGAGAGATTAAAAAAATCTACAAAAAATCTGTAGGCTTGATGAAAATAATTGGTCTAAAATATTATATGATGTTCTATGGGCATATAGAACAACATATAAAACTCGCTTAGTCATGTCACTATATAGATTATTTTTTGGTAAAGCATGTCACCTTCTCGTAAAGCTAGAGCATAAAGCATATTAGGTAATTAAAAAATTAAATTTCTCTCTTGATGATGCTGGAAAGAAATTATTACTTGAATTGCATGAGTTAAATGAGATTCAAAATGAGGCATATGAGAATTCTAAGATTTATAAAGCTAAAATAAAAGTATTTCATGAAAAACAATTAAGAAGAAGAGAATTAAAAGAAAATCAAAAAGTCTGACTTTATAATTCAAGATTCAAGCTCTTTGTTGGTGAGTTAAATCTAGATGGGATGGTCCCTTTATTATTATTAAAGTCTTTGAATGTGGTGTTGTTTTAATTGAGGATCTAAAAATAGGACAGCAAATAAAAGTGAATGGACAAAGATTGAAACCTTATGTATACAATGATTCACTTTCTCCATCCGCGCATGAAACAAATGATTCTCTTAACTCCACTACACAAGCCTAGTAGTTACTCTCTTTTTAATTTTCATTTTACTATTTTCCTTTCGTGTGTACTTTTTTTTGTGTTTATATTTTCTTTTCTATGTATGAGGGCCTTGAAATCTCCGTGATCTTGAGCTGCTAAGAGAGATGATCATAGAAGTCACAAAGGGCTATCTCCATTCTTGCAAATGAAGCATCTACCCTTGGTTTACAAAATTTTACTTGTGTTAACTCTTCCCACATGCATTGAGGACCATGCATAAATGAAGTGGGGGGTATGAGTC